ATCTGGATAATATGGAGGAATCGTTAAGAAAAACTTTGAAGTACATAAGGGTTAAACAATTTATGAAAGAGATTGAATACCTAGTTAAAAAACTATCACCTTCATCCCTTTGGAAGATGAAGAACAATACTAATGCTAATATTTCTTCTTGATTTAAGAAGAAATATAAGAAAGGTGATTTATATCGGCATGAGAATTAATTCAAGAAACCAATGCCAATTGATCTTAAGAAGCAATAGCTAGTGTTACCCACTATGGGATATGCCAATGTGCATTTTCCTTCTCTTAAGAAGTTTCTTGAATAAATCAAGGTATACATTTAAAATAAAGAATACTTTAATTGGATAATATCAAGAAGCTAATAAATGGTCATTACAGTCCAATTTTTTCCTCTGTCACAACTATCATGGCCATGCACCAAGAATTATAGAGTACCAAGGTCTCTTCTTGGGAAACTAATAAAAGAGAGTCCTTTAAATCAATATCTTGTTGATAAATGAGTTGATAAATAATTTGCCAAGGAATCTCATTTTTTTCCATGGAATATGATAAATATAATTGCCAATCATGCATGTCATAATTGGAGAAGCAAGAGGAAAGACATCATAGCTCAAAAGTTTGAAGAGGCTTGTCAAGTATAATGTGAATTATTTTCTTATTTATATTCCCATTTGATTTTTTCATGGATAGGGTCTTATCGATGCATATGAATATATATGCCAATATAATCATTACTATCTAATAATAAATATTTTGACATACTATGATCCTCATCAATATTATGAGTACTATAAATATATCATGTTCCTTGCTAAATTTGACCAAGAGAATTAGATCGAGCTCAAAGAACTTTTTACTATATAGAGGATTATTGATTAGGTTTTCTAGTAAGAAATATCTTCTAGAAGGTGCCATTACTGTAAATATCATATGGGGAGAAACCATGAGCATGAACTTTGGGGGTCAACTTTCTAGTCATATGATCTTTGTATGCATATAATTGCATCTTTGAAGGTCCTCTTCTCAGCTTATTCAAGAGTTAAAATGTTGTCTACCACACATCTTGCTGCTATGCTTTCTTCTTCAATAACCATTATCATTATTTATGGAGTCTTAATACAATCCTAGAAATGTTATCTCAACTATATCAAAGAGGATAATATTATTGAGTAGAAGTGATGAAGAAAGGTGTGACTAAACTCACCACCAATGAGGAAAGAGTTATCTAAGAAAATGTTTGCCTCAAATATTTCTACAAAGGTAATTTTAAAACTCATAAAACATTTAAATTCCTCTATTCTCACATAAGAGAGCATTTTCCCTCCATTCAAAGAGTTGGAGTTAATTAACAAGTAGTAGAAAAGGATGAGGGTAGGTATGGATTAAAGATATAGTGTAGTCAACATTAGTGACAAAGATTTAAATGATGATAAAGTGGTGAAACATATAGGAAAAAAATCTTTTATGAAATATTTCGATATAACTAGCTTGTATTAAATATGAAAAACAAATGCTCAAAGTTAGAAGAAAAAAAATTCAAAGCTAAAAGATATATATAAACAAAAAAATTGTTATCAATGACTATTCTTTTAAAAGAAAAATTAGTTTTCAAAAGTATTTTTGAACATATATCTTTAAATTTCTAATGGATATTCCTTTGTGAAACATAATTCATGGAAATTACACATCACTTTTTTGTTTGAAATGAAAAAATTGAATTATTCTTGATTAATAATTTCATGAAAAAACTTTTAATGAAATATAAATTCAACCACCAAAAAAATTCCAATGAAAAAAATTCATTAAAAAGGGTAAAAGTTCCAATGGAATATTATGTCAGTAAAATGTGAATGTGAATTATGATAAACAATTTTTGTATAAAATGTAGCACGACTTTCTTTTCAAAAAAAAAAGAAAAAAAAGATTAATTAAAAAAAAAAAAAAAAAAGATTAAAAAGAATAAAATAATAAAATTTCAAATCAGAAAAAAGAAAAAAAATACAAAATACTCTGATCATAAAGTCTGACAAAAAAACCCTTAAAAAATAGTCACTCGTTTTAGCAAATAGTGTGCTCAAATATTTTTATTATGTATAATATAATAGAAATAATACACTACTAACAAATTCAAATAACCAAAGCATTAATCAGATTGACCAATAAAAATACTTTTAAATAAATTTACAACAATTTGTCATCAAATATCTTAATTAATTGATAGAGATTTGTTAGAGAATGTATTTAGTAATTACATAAATATAAAGTGTTTAATTGTTAGTTTAAAGAATCCTAGGATTTCTATATCTCCATAAATTTATAAAGTAAAATAATTATCATTAATAAAAATAATAATTACAAAAAGTTATCATATTGGGCATACCCAAAAAAAAAAAACATAGAGAATGCTAGACTAGCCATATTCTATTCTCAACTATGATATATATAGCATAAAAGATTTAGAAGAAGATATGATTAAATAAGAACATTTCACAAGAACTCCCTTATTAATTATAACTGTCTATATGTCTAATAAAAAAATTTTGTGTATAAGTTAACGTACCCTAATGAGGCTTCTTCATTTGATCAAGTAAATGAGGTTTCGTAGGCGTACTAGACTTGATTATGATCAAATAAACTATTATGTAGTCTACATAGGGTAAGAATAGATTTGTATCATTCTTATGCACTACCACCCATAGTAAAAAGAGTGACAACAGGGGTAATATTGTCAATTTGTCAACACGTGGAACTTCATTAAAAAAATTAGGGAATTTAGAAATCATAATCATTAATGATAAAACAATTAGTCCTAATAATTAGATCAACATTCTAATGTCGAGAGAGTTGCTAAGGATTCTAAACTAAATAGAAATCATTTTGACTATTAGGCTCTATATTTCTGATATAAAGGGATTGATCAACAATTAGTAAAAAAGCAGGCAATGGTGCCTCAATGTTGAATTAGAACTATGGCATGGAATTTATCTAAAGTAGTGAAGATTCTTAAAAAAAATGTCATTTGATGTTTACTCTCCCCATTGAATTTTTTTTTTACAATCGTAGATCACATGTCCAATTAAGAGGCAATGAGAACATAAACTGAACCTTTTATTAAATATTACTTTTTATGAGCATCCTTTTGCTTGAGAGCCAAACCAAATGATGTCAAAATGGCTTTGGGACACATCAATTTGTACTAAGACTCTAACAATCAATAGCATGAGAGTAGTAACAGTAGGAGAGTCCACCCAATGAGGGTTTCCAAATAATGAGCCCAATGAGAACATGTTGAATTTATAATTAAATAAGTGTACTTTTAAAAGTGGAAACTTAATTCATATAGAATGGATATTCAATAGAAAATCCCAAGTTAGATGATCATTTTAAAAGCCTCATTACAATACCTCCAACCTAGATAGTTCTCTTCAAAAAGATAGAAGATAATCCTCAATCTGAAAAATGTTCATAGGGCATGTTTTGGATTGTGTGATAATATAGAAAAACATTTCAAAACTATAGAGCATCAAAAGAGGTTCAAATTGATTAAGGAAAATACCTACTAGCCATGCATTTCTCCACCAATAATAATTTAAGAGGAATTAACAATCTTAAAAACACATTAATTTTCTGGATTAGTAAGGGTAGTTTATCTTAATGAGATGGGTATGATATGGGTTTATGATTAGAGAGAGGAAATTTATAGGATGTCTCAATCCTAACCAAACTTAGTATATGCAAAGAATGAATGAGGAGGACATCGATAAAAGAACCGCATGATGGGAATGTCGAGTGGCCAATAATATTTGGATTAGATAGGGGTGAAGCTAAAAAGCACCCTAAGTCATTCAAAATCATAGAAGAGGTGGAAAGAAATACCCTATGGTTACAACATTAAGTGACCATTGGACAACAATTGATGAGAAGGATTAAGGCTTAGCTAAAGTAGAGAAGGATGGTGATAGGACTGGCGGTGGGTTATTCATTATGACCATAGGTTGAGATGGAGAGAGAGTGTGAGGATGTAGAATGTATCATGTATGAATAAAGTTAAATAAGATCTAAATAGAATAATAAGGAGATGGAAAAAAAAACATTCAGGAAATAGATATATGAAGAATCAATGACAAGGTTGTTACATTACCAAGGAGAAAATCATAGACAATGTTGGCCTGACATAGATTGTTTGCATATCTCCCACATGCACATGGAGAGGTGCACACTTGGGCCTTAACAAGGTGAGAAACATAATTATATAGGAAAATGAATGAAAATTTTATGGTGGAAGGTGTAGTAGAAGATGGTGATGAGTAGGACTATGCAACATTATTGAGAAAGGTGTAAAAAGTGATCAAATTTTAACTTAAAAGGTATTCTCTTACCTCTACACATACCTCATTTTTAAGTGTATTAGGAAATGTTTTGAAAACTAGATCGGATCGGTCAGTTCAACCAATTCAATCGTGAACCGGCTAGGTGGCCAGTCCAATTCAACTTACAAAACTGTCTTCGCATCGAACCAAATTGAACCGCCAAAAACCAGCGGTTCAACCGGTGAACCAGTGTACCGCTAAACCATCCCGGGTTGGAAAGAACTGGCTGGTCCAATGGTTTATTAAACTCTTTGAACTTTTTTAAACTATTAGGTTGGTCCAATGGTCTTCTCCATTATTGGTGGTGTCCTCTACCTTAATACTACACTATGGGTTATTATGGTCTTTATCTTGCATGATGATCATTACTAGCACCATTTGTTTGTATTGAGTATCTCTTAATAGCCCCATATCTAGTTAAATAGAGCATACAATTGTTACATTTGGGCGCCTTATTTGCATTTGATATTTATTTTGGTTGATGTATTCCTAGTTTCTAGCTTTACTTTCTTATATCTATCATTTATATCTTCCACAAACTTATGTGTATTTTACTTTAAACATTACTTTTCATACCAACAAAAACAATATTGAACTAACACATTCCAACGTACCACATCGTGTATGAAGAAGCTATTACAGGTGCTCTCAGCTCACATGCAATGTGAAGAAGCAAGTGCAACGTCTTTCAAGTGATGCAGCAATAGTTGTAACCACATATGAGGGAGTTCATAACCATCCATGCGAGAAGCTCATGGAGACCCTTAGTCCTCTTCTCAACCAGATGCAGTTTCTCTCTCAATTCCAATAATTTTCATTAACTAATTCCACTTCTTCATCAACTGGATATAAATGGGCATATATGCAACCTATAAAATGTCCTTAATCATCATTTCTTCTCAAATACATCATATATAGCTTGTTTTTGTAATAGAAAAAGCAATGAAAATAATAGAAAGCATGCATGTACAATATGTTCTTAATTTTCTATTGCACAATGTGCAAGTAAGTGATAATGAAGCTGCAGCACAGATGATTTGCAACATGGAAGTGTATGCGAGTGTTAGAATAACAAGATTTAGGCTTCGTTTGGGACTGCTTTCTTCGCGCTTCTTAAAGCGACTTCCTAGTACAATAATTAAAAATTTTGTACTAGAAAGTCACTTTAAGAAGCAGTAAGAAAGCCGTCCCAAACAAAACCTTACTGTTAGTTTAACAAGCTTAATAACTTAATTTGTGGAGTCTTGTTATGTTTGACAGAGACCTATACAGTGCCATAGTATTGAAATAAATTTTTTCTACATGTATATGTGTATATGTATCTTGAAATTTATTAACATGATTAAAATATTTATTTAATTATAATAAATTTATATTATATTTAAACTTGTGAGTTTATTATTCATTGTATTTTTTTAGGGTAAGCAAAAACTCAAACATATAATAAATTAGGTGTGTCAAAATAGGGTTACGGATCAGGTTTTTGTCGAACTGGACATTGATCCGCTACTGTTTACATTTTTCTAATCAGGTTAACTAGTCTGAAATGAACTTTGATCATGGAGATTTCACATTAGGTGAGTCGGGAATGCTTTTAGATATTTATGTAAAAATCTTAAATTTAGTCCGGCGCCACCCCTTACAGTGCCGCACTGCTTCATTCAAATGTTCCAGATGCTCCAAATAGAGAGCTCAGCGTCGTAACGCTCTCAAGTGCCTTCTCACATACAAAGAGATTAGTGTCGCATTGCTCATTTGAACATAGAATAACTTAAACAATTCACAAACATTTTATGAACATGAAAATAAACATGAAATTCGGGCCAAATTTAGATCGGGTTGTTTCAGGTGGACTTATTTTTATAGCATTAGTTATTACACCTTATATTATAATTCTTAGTTGCCTACTATTTGTAAGCTATGTGGTTTGTTTGGACATCCTGCATAATGATAAGCTCTTAGGAAAAAATATTTTCTACAAATTTTAACTAAATTGAAAATCAATTTTAAAATAAATTTAGGAAATTAATTGTTCTAATTAAAATCATATGGTCTTAATACCATTATCTTAATTAAAATTATTCTTGTATATCTCTTGGAAGAGATATAGAATGAGCTTATCAGTAATTAAGCCTAACTAGTGTACACTCATGCATACCATTGCCTATCCTAATGAATATAGTTAAAAATGTTCACATTAGAGATAAATAATTTTGCATTCATGTATATTCCCTAAGATAATGATTTAAATTAAATATGCTTAGTTTTATCGCTAATATGATAGGTAGTGGCGATCCTAATCACTACAAGAAAAACACCATTTTCGGTGGTCATTTTCGTCGGAAAATGGTCAAAATCCGTCAGAAAATTGCATTTCCAACAGATTTCTGGTGGAAATATTTTCGCCAGTTCCACTCGAGTTGAAAAAGGCCTTCCAGCGCAAAATAATTCGCCAGAAACATTTTCGGCGTTTTTCCGGCGGATTTTTTATGTGCCGGAATGTCAAGAAAAATAAAAAAATTTCAAATTAATTTAGATAGGATTATTAGTCCAAGTAAAGCCATCCCAAACGAAGCCTAAGGTTTCGTTTGGGACGACTTTCTAATTACTTTTAAAAACAGTTTTCTAGTATACAAGTTTTAAATTTTGTACTAAAAAACTACTTTAAGAAGCAACAAAAAAATCATCCCAAACGAAGCCTAAGTCTCACCAAAAAGGATAGACCATTGATGGATTTCTTCATGGTAACATGAACTTATTAAGGTCATTGATTTCTTAGATTCTTGATAAACTTCCACTTCATCAAACCAGAAGATCAGCATAATTTCCTCTTATAAATGATGCTCAATGTAGTCTTAATCTATCATTCACAGAAAGATTTTCTTCTTCAAATTTCTTACTTTGTTTTACAATTCAATAATTCTTATGTATTTTGAAGAAAATATCATGATACTTTCATTAAAAGCATTTGTAGTTAACATGAATCCAAACAAATTCAAGCTCTATCTGATCTTCTAATCTCATAGAAGAAAAATAAAACTATTTGTAAGAAACAAACCCATGCGGCAAGAATCACATCCAATAATAGTAATTCTTATCATTCAAGACTTTTTTTTTTGGACATTTAGGCCGTTAAGGAAAACTCTCACGCATCACATACGCAAGCTTCGAACTCAAAATCTCTTGATTAGTAGTTATAGCTTCCAAATAGGGGTGTCAAAACGGGTACGTGTGTCGGGTTTGGGTTAAACCTGGATTGACCCGGGTTCAAATGGTTTGACACTAATCCGACCCGATTTTGTAAACGAGTCGACACTTCAGACCAGGACCTGACCCGATCCGCTAACCTAGATTTGCCTGGGTCAAGTGATAATGCATAGGAGCGACTGGAAAGTGTCGAGTGAGCGAGCTAGGCCGCTTGGGTGCAGGAGCGGGGGAGCGGCTTTGTGCAAGCATGGTCCAAAGTACAGGGTGTGGTCCATGTGGACTTGAGTGCGAAATGACGCCACGGCGGGAGGGCGAGCTTGGCTAACCTACCTTACGCGGTTGCGAGCATAAGAGAGGTGGACTAGTAGAGAGCTGTTGTGAGCGCGAAGAGCATCCAGTAGAAGGTTGAACCTTGGTCACTTTTGGGTTTCTGAGTCAACCCGAATTTGAAACAGGTCAGCTTGTTGAACCCAAACCCGACCCATATGACAAACGGGTTTTGACCCAAACCTGAAATTTTCCTAGTGGGTCCGGATCGGATTTCAAGTCATGTCAAATATTGACGTCTCTACTTCCAAATAACAAATCAAGATGAGGAGCATGTCATTGAAGACATTGAATCAAAATACCAGTTTCATAAACAATTATAGAAAATTTTAAAATTACATATGAAGATACTCAGACGACACATCATAAATCAAGTCAATCATACCATTGATCAAGAAAATTTGGTTATCAAAGTCGGCTTCCAAAAAGATAGACATAAAATAATTACATAAAATCTACTCAAATTTTATGAAAAATGACTTCTTATTATTCCAAAAAAGTTTACTAAAATGAAGTATGACGAATAAAATAAACCACATCAAATAAAAGATACATATCCCATAAAGAAAATTTCTCTTTTTTGCAAGATAATAATAATAATAAAATATAGCTTGTAGGAAGATGGCTTGATGAAGTAAGAAAACGGTCACAAATGAAGCCTAAGACTTCATTTGAGATGACTTTCTTATTGCTTCTTAAAGCAATTTTTTAGTATAAAATTTTAATTTTTTAATCAAAAAACAGCTTTAAGAAGCAGTAAGAAAACTGTCCCGAATGAAGCATAAGTTGAATTTTCCATTCTTATCCAAAAACTAGAATTTAGCAACACCCTTTGTATTTTATTTCTTTTAGACATAAAACTGACTTAAACAGAAAGTACCACTTCCTTCATATATTCAAAATTTATGAAAAACTTTTTTAATCAAGCTATTCGTTGGGATCGACATAACTAGCCCCACATCTATAGATTTAGATTTTATTTGGAAAATGTTTTTGTTACTTTTTAAAATGATTTTTTAGTTCAAAAATTTCTTAGATTAGAAATTTTTGTACTAAAAATTTATTTTAGAAAATATCAAGAACACTGTTCCAAACGAAGCCTTAATTACTAATTTGGATGCTTCATAATTCTACTTATTGTTTTGAGCTTCCAACATATTCTCTCCCTTTTAGATGATCTAAGGAAGTCAAAAGCCCACACATTAATAGGAGAATTGCTTGGTCCAAATTTGCAACTACTTTCACTAAGAAGGTTCTTTGTCAGCTTCATCTTGGAGGACCAAATCAAATAGGAATCACAATTTGTCTACTTTTCTAAGGGAGTTGTTCATAGATCGCTTATTAAAGCCTCTTTAATATTCTTATTGTTAACAACCCCAATTTTTTCAACTCGTTATTGATTTTGTATAAAAACAATTTAATTAGAAGACGATTTTCCAACAACTTTATATTTATGTGGTGCTTTCATTTATTAGTTGGTGTATTTCTTAGGCTTCGTTTGGTATTGTTTTCTTACTGCTTTATTTTTTAGACCGCAATTATAATTTCTATTTGCCACTGTTTTTCACTACTTTTAAAAAAAATTGTACTAAAAGCTGTTTTTTATGATAGCTTTAAGAATTTACTTTCTCTACGAAAACTTTATAAAATCGTAAGAAAGTTGTCTTGGGTAGGGGTGTCAATTCGGGTCAATAGGTCGGGTTCGGGTTGAACGCAATCTGACTCAGCCGTAAACGGGTTGACAATAACCCGACCTGGTTTTGCAAACGGGTCAGGTTTGTAAACCCGGACCCCGACTCGTTCAGGTTACCGGGTTGACCCGACCCGACCCGCGAGCTAGAAATCACATGCACATCTTTGGGCGGGGCCAGGACGGTGGCACCGGCAGTGCATGTGGGGTGGACTGTGGACGAGACGTGGACCGGACGGCGGCAGTGGCAATGCTTGCGCTAGCGGGAGTCGCGGGACGCCGGGACAGCTGCAGAAAAGCGGTGAGCAACCCTTCCCGCACGGTTCAGGTCTGTTTGGCTGTTGGTAGACGCGATGACGTACTGGCGGCTAGCGCAACCAGTCACTGACTCCACTGACTCGGTCTTAGCAGATGTGGTGAGCCAGTGACCATTCCCGCCTTCCGGTAGACTCGAATCAGAATCAGACACCGTGATGCGACCAGACACAGAGACAAGACGCAGTGACGTGACGATGCGTTGGGTCTTGACGCGACGAGACAGGTTTCACTTCATGCGGGATGTTGCAAACGGGTCAAGGCGGGTTAATTTCGGGTTTCCGGGTCAACCCGAACTCGACCCGATTTTACAAACGGGTTAAAATTACTAACCTGAATTTGATTCGTTTGACAAACTGGTTGACCCGAACCCGAATTTTTTTAGGCCGGGTTTCGGTTCGTGTCAAAAATCGACACCCCTACGCTCATACACGCATTTATTGCGCGTGGTGGGATGGGACCCCGGTGCGACACCTACGACAAGGCGGGTAATCACCTTACGCTCCATTTCGTCGTTCGTGACACACCGAAAAACCGTCTATACACGCCTTTATTGCGCGTGGTGGGATGGGAGTCCGGTGCGGCGCCTATGGCGAGACGGGGTTACTTATAAGTACCCTTGAGCGGGGGGGGAAGCAAATTGTCTTTTTAAACAGGTGCACTCGAAGACCCCATACACGCCTTTATTGCGCGTGGTGGGAAGGAAGAACACGGCCGCGGTGTCTAAGGGCACCTAGTGAGAAGTAGTAAAAAATCCTTCCCAAACGAAACCTTAATCTTCATGTCAAAGGCACAAAAAACTCATTGAAGACTAATGAAAGATCTCTTAAGTGTAATAAATGGGTATTAATCATGTGCCAACTCAAGAGATATGAAGAACTTGAATCCAAGATCTATTGATTGATGTCAAAACTCTCAACTATAGAGAAATTATTCTGTGTGGATGCTAGACGCAGCTCTACATTCGGAGGTTAATCAGGTGTAGCCATGTTAATGGTACCGGGCAGTATCGAGCCGCGATACCGAATGAAAAAATAATATGATACATTTTGATTGATCTCCAAAAGACGTTCCGCGCCCACACAAAATATTTTTTTTCCAACTAATAGGCCATGTTGACCAAGACAAATTTAAAATAAGATAATTTTTTACAAGTTGCCATTTTTGCGGTTCCTCTTCTCGCAACTTCCCACATCGAAGCCCTAGCCTCGATTCCTCACGATCTACCTCGCTACCGACGATGCTTCTCTCTCCCGGCCACTCCCCTCGCCACATCTCTGTCGCGCCGTCCTCCCCCTCTGCCACCCCCTCCTCCACCGCCGAGAAAACCCTAATCCAATCCTTCGAAGCCCTAGCCTCGATTCCTCACGATCTACCTCGCTACCGACGATGCTTCTCTCTCCCGGCCACTCCCCTCGCCACATCTCTGTCGCGCCGTCCTCCCCCTCTGCCACCCCCTCCTCCACCGCCGAGAAAACCCTAATCCGATCAACCCCAAACTCATCTGCCGCGTATAACTCGAAGAAACGCCGCGTCAGCGTCCTCGATGAGGACACCTACGTCGCATCCATAGAGAAAATTATCGAGCGTGACTTCTTCCCTGACATCCCCAAGCTCCACGATCGCCTGGACTGGCTCGAGGCCGCCCGCTCAGGCGATCCCATAATCATTCGCGATGCCCAGCTTAAGATCCTCGAGCGCCGTGCCGCTGCCGTTTCTGGCAAGACTCCATCCACTGTCGCCGCCGCCACCACCGATGGCCGCACACGCAGCCCCTTTTCCTCTGCGACGCCCTTCGGCTCTGATAAAACTCCGTTATTTGTTCCTGCTGCTGTTGATCAATCTGCTAATGAAGAAGATCCATCTTCTATTGTGGATACCTCTCTCTCCCTTGATGAATTCTGCCACCGGTACACGAGCGAGGACAACGCGAGCTTCTCGAAGATCATGGAGAAGGTGAACAGGAAGAGGAGGGAGCAGTATGCTCATCTGTTGCAGGGGGAGATGGAGGAAACGGTGAAGACCATAGAGGATGAGAGGAGCGATCGGATTACTGATGGGTATGGAACTTCTGGGCAGCCGTTGGCTACTCTTGATGGGTGGAAGTACACGGCGAAGAATCTCTTGATGTATAATCCTGTTGATCGTGGGGAGGTGGCCCTTACTAAGGAGGAGAGGGCAGAAAGGATGAAAGGGTTGACAAAGGAGATTGACAAGTCGAACACAAGATTTCATGGAAAGTCCATTGCAGATTCGAAGCCCACTAAGGAGGAAGAAGAAGCCACTTTTCTCTACACTCCAGTTCCAGGAATCACACCAGCTGGTGCTTCTTGGCCTTTTGGTGATCGACAGGCAGAGAAGTTGAAAAAGTATGACTTGGAAGATCTAAGAAAAACCCCAAATGCATTCTTTGCAGAATCGGCAAAGAAATCAGAGAATGGGTATAGCTTTGTGAAGACTCCTTCCCCAGCCCCTGGCGTGGATGAATCTCCATTTATGACATGGGGAGCTATAGAGGGAACACCATTGAGATTGGATTTGGAAGATGCACCAGTTGGTAATGGTGGAAGTAGTGATGGACCACATTTCAGCATTCAATTGCCACCATCTAGGGATGTGAAGGCGCATTCTCTTTCAAGGGAAGCTACTCGGAGGTTACGGGAGAGGTCTAAAATGTATCAGAAACCACCCTTGCCTTCACCAGCTAGGGGTGGTAGTGCTAGCCCCAGTGTTCGAAATCTTTCACCTGCTGCACAAAAGTTTGTTAGAAATGCAATTGCTAAATCGTCTTGCTCTGTTGTTGATGAGACTCTTCGTGCTAGCTATCGTGGGACTAGCCCAATGGCATCTACTCCAAAGGAACGGGGTTTATCTAGATTCTCAAGAGATGGTAGCTTGGCCTCAAGATCACCTTCAGTGAGACAGAATTCTGCTTCTCCCTGGTGAATTATGCATGGTTAGCCCTAATTGCTTATTTTGGAGCTCCATATTATAATGTCAAAGAAATACTGACATGGAAACTTATAGTCAGATTTGCTTCTTAAATCTGTTTTGTTCCATTCGTTTCACATCATTATGTTACTTTGAATAGGGAAACTATCTAAATGGGTATATTGTCTATGATACTTGGAATTTAAAGGGTTTACATAATGTCTTCAAACCTCTAACATTGGCTTGTAACTTTCTCTGTTATTGAATGTTATTTTTTTTCCAAAATAATTTATAGCAGGTTGATTTGTTGTTCTCTTTGGCTCTGTTACGTATACAATCCATTCTCTTTCCCTAGTAAGCCTTATATCTATTTTTTATTTTTGAAGTTGATTGTTGTACTGAAGTATGCATTTCTCCTATGACACTATTTTAGTGCTGCTAAATGAAATTAGTGAAACAGTATATGAAAAGGGGAAGTTTTGAAAATCCTCATAAACTTGTTTTTCTCTAATGGCATAGCCAGTGGGAAGCACAAAAATGATGATAAAGATTAAACTCTAGGGAGTCTTAGTATCATATTTCTTTTTAATAATTACTTAGATTATTTTTATATGAAACTTTTGTTTTTCAACCATTAGCTACCATGATATGGGTTTAAGACCCTCTTTATCCAGACAAGCAATATATCTCATTTGGATGAATTGTTTATGAGCTAAAATATTAATAGTCATACCAAAACCTTGAGATTTTGCTTGATATTGATTGAAAGTGAAGGAAATGAAATGTAATTCCAATAGTTTTTTGGTTGATTATAAATTTGCAGTCGTTCATTTGAGTTTTCCAACATTTTGTTTTATTTTTGTCACTCATTACCTATGCTGCACCGATACAATTACGATGACACGGATATGACATGTTACGGATACGTGATACGTCAATTATGAAAGCACAGGATACGGGTACGACGTTGACACGACAGGATAATTTATAAATGATGAATTCAAATTAAGAAAGCAATCAAAGCATAATATTTAAGCAAAATACTTGAGCCACATCAAACATAAAAAATGGCTAAGTTGCACCTAATCAATTAACAAATTATGTAACCATATTAGACCCTAAAAGTAGCAGAAAACCTTTTGCGTTTATCTTGCTTGTTGAACCGAACCCTCAAGATAGCAGAATCGTGAACCGTAAGTCCATAACCCTCCTCTTATTCGACAACTCAAAGGAAGATAACCCCTTAAAACACACAAAAATAAAAAGAGATTGATGTTCGTCTGCCCGAGAAAAGGCACGAAAGCGAACCTTCAATCCTTGTTTGCCTCGCTTGCCTTAGAAAATAAACTCCTTCGACGAAGATGCAAGCTTTTTCGGCCTCGTTGCTCGCGTCTGTAGGCTCTTCCGTCTCGCATGCTCGTGTGTTTCTCACGAAGACGAAGCAGATGATGCAGACAACGAAGAGTCGAAGACAAAGCAAACGACGGAAGATGCATGCTCCTTCGGCCTTGCTTGCGTATAACCCTCCTTTGGCGTCAACTGCTCACATAAACGAAAATATAGTCCTAGCTCCATGCTCGCGCAAACAAAATACTGGAATATGATGTGGGTTGTACGTTTTATTTAACTTATTTTTTTCATTATTTAATAGGATACGCGTATTCGAGATATTTATTTTTAATTTAAATATGATTTTAAATTTTAAATAATATTTAATTTATTATTGAAATATTATTTTAATGGGATATATTTTTGCCGTATCGGACACGTATTCGAGCTGTATCAGGTGCGTATCCATGTTCGACATGTGTCTGATACAAGATGCCTTCGTAAATGGGAGTATAGTTGCATCATTGCTCATTACTGACATACAAAAATAATCTAATCTGAAGTGGAGGAATTCATCGGGCCTGTTATATGATAGAAAAGTAACTTAAGGGAAAATTCTATAAAATGGTGGTGAGACCTACAATGTGTTATGGCGCGGAATGTTGGCCATTAAAAGAGAAGCATAAAATATTAAGTTAAGTGTTGTAGAGATGAGGATGCTCGCCATGTTGGCGCGGAATGTTGGCCATAAAATATTAAGTTAGGTGGATGAGTGGCTTTACTCTTAGAGATAAAATGCAAAACAGGTATATATGTGAAACAATTGGAGTATCTCCATATAAGATTAGAGAGAATCTTTATAGATGATTTGGTCACATAAAACTTTAGCCTTCCGATGACCCGATTAGGAAAGTATATATATTATATCTAGCATATTTTAAGAGGGATAGAGGTAGACCTAAAAAGACTTGGTTATAGGTATTATAAATGACCTTTTTTATTAGATTTGAATGAGAATTTAACTTTTAACAGGACAAAATGAAGAAAAATGATTCAATTAGCCGACCTTACATAGTGGGATAAAAGCTTAAGGTTGTTGTTGTATTTTTTTCCTCACAATATCTATTTTTACAATGAAAAGTGCATGGTTTCTAATTTTCAAAAATAGGAGAAACAAAGTAAAGCAAAAGCACCCAATACGATGAGATCCTCGCCATGTATGATGATAATTAAAAGGTAAAGTTCTCAATTCCCAATCTTTCAATCCATTCTGAATTATTTGGAATATTTTTTTTCAAAACAACAGTAGTTTTAAATAAAATAATTCTAACCATCTAAAGTTAATTGGAGAAAAAGAATAAGTAGAATCAAACTTCGTCATTCAAAGTGGATTGGATGACTAGGATTTAAGAACCTTGCCCTTCAATTATCATGGTAACTAGAGAGAATCTCAATTCACTCTAACAATTTACATATAGTTACATGATCGGCTTGTAAGAAGCATATCTTTATGAATTATGACTTTTTGATTTGTGCATTATGGGATATACCTCTAGGGTCTCATTATTCTTCTTAGGATATAGCTGTAGGGTTCAGGATAGTCTTTCCCTATAAGAAAAATTGTCTTCTTAGCAGGCATGAGCTTATTTAATTTGTTTATAGCATGGTTTATTAAACTTGTCCACTAGCTACTTGTAATTTCATTTACATAATAGAGAATTGCCTACTGTCACATATTTGCATTTTAGATTCTAGTTCAACCTTTTTTTTTAAATGAAAAATCTGGGTGTAAGCACCCTTCTCATCAAAAAGAAGAAAAAAAGAGTTGCATAAAGATCAATAAATGGAACAACATATTTGCTACGAAGTTAAATAATATGAGATCTTGAAAAATACCAATTGAAAGAAGATAATGAGGATTCATAAACTCTTACATGATCATGATGAAAGAATCTCTCTTTCTTTGCTAAGAAAGCGAAAATAAATAGATATTGATAATGCACCAAAAACAGAAATCGCATCTCACACTAAATAGAAAAAGTTTTGGCTAAAGTCCAACTGAATAACAATCCATGAAATCATAAATTCCTTAAAAAAGGCCTTCTATTGGTACAAATTATTGAAGATGTTTTCATAGAAGATCAAATAAAGCCCAAAAAACCTATAGATTAGACAATCCCGAAATGATTTTCATATCCAATAAGGTCCACAATTGTAATGAATGTAGGAAACCCAAAGAAACTCAATACAATAATTTGAAGAAGTCCTCCATCAAGTTCATAGATAAAATTGACTCACCAAAATATCTTTAAAAAATTCATCTTGGATATAAACATTTCTTTATAGTGCCCTGACAAAGAGAAGTCATGATTCCATAAGCTCCAAATACAACTTCAGCTAGGGAAAAAAGATAGAGAGAAAGAACTCCATACCCAACTTGCAATCTCAAAAAGGAGATGAGAACAAAATCAAAATCTAAGTTTCATAAATATCATAAATGTAAGCGGTATCCAAAATGTTTCCAAGGTTGCATGAATAAATTAATTCTGACGAGGAACAGAAGTATTTGGACATGAAATTTTAGAGACAACAAGCCTAGATTTAGCCCTAAAAATTTTCCTGACATAGGAATACTATTTTTCTTCCTCATGTTTAAAGAAAATTGTCTCATTAATTCCATAGTCTATGTATGAATTGTCATGTTCTCATTCAATTCTCATATTTTTTTTGCCCTTTTTAATTATTTTACTAATGCCTGAAAATCTTTCCAAAGACTTCTCTTCATTTAGAATGTTCAAAACTTCAATTTCACTGTTGATAATATTTACATATCCATCCAAATGGGAAGTGGAATTAAAATTTTCAATTTCTTGAAAATGCCTCACTAATCTATGCTTATTGGTGTAAGGTAATGCTTTATAAAATTACTCCCTAAACGAATGACCTGATAAATCTCCTTACGATCTTCTAAAGAAATATCTGAATTCAATATTGAGTTTTGGGCCAAAAGAATTTGTCGTGGATTTTAATTTGAAATAGGAGTGGTTTGGGAAGAAGCAGCGTCCATTGATTTTCCTCTAATTACTTCATTATGTCTTGATGGAAGATTCATCAATGGAAACTGAGAGGCTTCGAAGAACTTGAACATCAAAAGTAAATATAGGGAACTGAGCTAGCTCAATTACTAGTTTTTCAGTTTTTCTTTTCTTATATCCTCCTTTTCTTTTTAGGGTAATTATTGATCCGGAAAAGGAAAAAAAAGTTTACAATTTGATCCAATGTGGAGTTGTAACAGCTTATCCAAAGTTGTTGACCAATCTTCTGCTCAGCTCTATAGTGTTACCCTTACTATAATTAAACATTTCCTTGGGATTATTTTGTTATTGCTATCAAAGCTCATGATTGTTTCAACATCTTTAGTAGGCTACAGCTGTGGCTCTCAGATTGAAAATAAGTCTTTTTCTGGTCGTCTCCAATTAATCCGTTTATAATATCGAGTTAATTTCTCTATTGGCTAACATTTTTCATTCTCGAAGGTGTTTTGAAAAAATTACTAGTCATTTGTCTAATTTTTAAATTCACAATAATAAGGAACACAAAGTTTGTGACACCTCTTGATCTACTGCTACTACTTTTAGAGAAAACTTCACAACTTTAACAAATTATGTAAGTTCATGTTGATTTGGTGAATAATTAATTTCAATTCTGATTTATTTGGTTAGTGTTCTAACTCCTTTGGCTATTTTTGGAAGAAACAACATAATAAGGTCTCAAATTTTGGGAGATCTTTGCAGGTTATGGCTTCTATGATGAGGAGATGGATCATTTTGATGTCACCAGTAATGGCAATCTCTCCTCCTGTGAGCCTTGGCTTAGCGGCTACTTCTTTATGAAACATTTTGGTCCTCCAGTTTTTTAGTGGTTTAATCCCAATCCTAGTGTTTTTATTGGCAACATCTTCACTGGTGGGTGGTTGGATCTTAA